GTCATGCAGTCTTACACGCTGCTGACTTACTACAATTGCGACCAAGCGCATATCATAATCGCTTCCCCACTACAATTAGTGCACGTGGAAATCCACCAAAGTATTTCCCATCTGCGGAAATACGGTTGCTTATTTATATATGTACCGATTTCACCACCAAAGCGTACATCTATGGGTCCCACAGGAAATTAGGGATCTATGTCGGGTATCAATCTCCGTCGATCATTAAACACTGGAGCCCCTTACGGGGGACCTATTCACGGCCCGATCTGTATGATCAGTATCTTCAACGAGGATCATTTCCGGCATTAGGGGAGATTACAAGTACCAAAATCAATGCCCGGAAATAAATTGGGATGCACAAGACATCTCCACTCATGATCCACGTACACAAGAATCGAACTTCAAGTTCAGAAAATCATAAATTTGCAAAACATAGCAAATAATCGCAGACGCATTCTTGATTATAAAGGTGTCACTAAATCCTATCATCCCGCTAGGAATGTGCACGAAAGAATAGAGGTACCAAATAAAACTATTCAACTCCCACCTTCGAAACCGGTTCTAGGTAAGAGGGGGAGAAGTAAGGCTATCAATCAGGATGTGGCTCCTAAACACCAAAGGAAACAGGATAACAAAAATTCTAAATCAGTAAATGTGACACAACAAGTTGTGAGACACCAAGTGAATAAACAAAATTCACATCCCACATCAACAGTGCACTCAATACCTGATGTTGGGACATCGGAACACCCGACGCTATCGTGATTGGGAAATAACGAACGAATCACGAGGGGTACAAGAAATTTCCATAAACTACATTGATTACGGAGAATCATATGACCGAAAAGAATACAATTGTCGACATATACTTTGCCAAAACAATTGCGAAATTATCCAAACTGATCCAGATCCCAAGACCATGGCGAGTGCAAAAAGTGCTCGATTTGGAACAAATGGAAAGAAGCAATTCAAGCGAGTTAGCCTCGCTCACAAAAAGAAAGGTATTCTCATCAGCAATACCTACACCTTCACAAATCTTCCCTGTGGGATTTAAATGGGTTTTCATCCGAAAACGGAATGAAAATAATGAGGTGGTGAGATACAAAGCGAGACTTGTAGCACAAGGGTTCACGCAGAGACCTGGCATTGATTTCAATGAAACATACTCTCCAGTTATGAGTGGAATAACTTTCCGATATTTAATAGCATTGGCAGTTCAAAATCATCTATCTATGCAGTTGATGGATGTAGTGACAGCATATTTATATGGGTCACTTGATTCGGACATTTACATGAAGGTTCCCGATGGAATTCCTATTCGAATCCTAAAGCAAGTCGCGCCACATATTGTGTGAAACTTAATAAGTCACTATATGGCTTAAAACAGTCAGGACGGATGTGGTACAACCGGTTGAGTGAATTCCTATTACAAAGGGATACACCAATAACGATGATTGCCCATGTGTCTTCATAAAGAAATCCCAAAGCAGGTTACGTATTATATCCGTATATGTGGATGATTTAAATATCATTGGCAACCCACATGATATCAATGAAGCACGCAATCTCTTAAAGACGGAATTTGAGATGAAGGATTTAGGTCAAACTAAATTTTGCTTGGGTTTACAAATCGAGCACCTTCACTCAGGAATATTAGTGCATCAATCTGCCTATATCCAGAAAACACTAGAGAAATTTAATATGCATAAATCATATCCATCCAAAACTCCCATGGTTATTCGGACTCTAGACATGGAGAAAGATCCATTTAGACCAAAGAACGAAGATGAAGAGGTACTGGGGCCCGAGGTCCCATATCTCAGTGTCATTGGAGCACTAATGTATCTTGCAAATCAAACTAGACCTGACATTGCATTTGCAGTAAATTTACTGGCTAGATATAGTGCTACTCCAACTAAACGTCATTGGACGGGGAGCCAAACAAATCTTGCGATATCTCAATGGCACCAAAGATCTTGGATTATTTTTCCAAAGAAACCAAGATCCAACTGTAATTGGATACACTGATGCTGGCTATTTATCTGATCCCTATAATGGCCTATCCCAGACAGGCTTTGTATTCCTATATGGAGGAACAGCTATATCATGGAAGTCATCTAAACAGACTTTAGTAACAACTTCCACAAATCATTGTGAAATTGTTGCACTATATGAAGCATCACGGGAGTGTGTATGGCTCCGCAGAATGATTAATCACATACAGCAATCTAGTGGGATTGGTCCCATTGAATCACCCACAATTATCTATGAAGATAATGCTGCTTGTATTACACAAATGGAAACAGGTTATATCAAAAGCAATATAACTAAACATATTTCTCCCAAATTATTTTATCCTCATGAATTACAAAAGAATGGAGAAATAAAAATCTTGCAAACAAAGTCTTGTGATAATCTTGCAGATTTATTCACTAAGTCATTACCAGGTCCCATGTTCCAAAATTTTGTTCATAGTATTGGTATGCGACGACTTAAAGACTTGCAAGTTTCAGGGGGAGATAATCTCTGAAAATAATCATTTGTGTTAAATATTATATTGCACTCTTTTCCTATTATGAGTTTTTACAAAAACTTTCTCATAAAAGGTTTTTAATGAGGCAATATCTAATATATAATATGTCATATTTCCTATTTTCCTCACAAGAGGTTTTTAAGGGGAATATCAAAGGCATTTTTCTTCCTCATATTTTCCACGTGGTTTTGGAGGAGGACATGGCCCATAGACCATTATATTGTTCTAAACTAAATTATGGATTTTTCCTATAAAGTTTTTTCCGTATAAGTTTACAATGGACAATAATCTAAAAATATGTCATATCATTTCTCCTGATTTTTTCCCCACTGGGTTTTTGAGGAGTTTAATGACATATCAACAATATAGCACCTCATATTTTTCCTACAAGGTTTTTAGAGGCCCTGAAGATATTATTTGATCTCAAGACTGGATGCGATCAGGGGGAGTGTTACGAAGCAATCCGTTCATCAAGGAGAAGAACCAATAGGATTACAGAGATCCCATCCAACCAGATTAGTGACATGGATCAACCTTAGCCTTAGATCTAAATCCAACCATCAGTGTAATCTCTCCCTGTAATCACTGTAGTTTCGTACGGACTACTCCATCTTTCGGAACCGACATCACCGGGATCGCTACCCGTTGGGAAGCCGCGTATCCGCGTCCTCGAACGGGCGTCTGACAACTCCCGTGGCGTCGCTTCAACCTGTATAAATTGTGAGATCGATCAATGGAAAAGTATGGAAAAGTATGGTTCGATTCATTCTTTCTCTCGATCACTAATGCTTTTAAACACCCTCCATGCCGCAAGCACACTCGCACAGGACGGCGGCGGCGCGCGCAGGTGTCCGTGGTGGGCATTCCCCTGAACAGGTGAACTGCGGCGCCGGCGGGGCACTGAGCAGCGCGTTGCCAAATGGCATGCACCTCGTTGGGGGGCAAGGGCGGAATCCTCGAGGCTCGCCGGTGGGTCCTACACGCACCGCCGACTCTGGCGGCGTTGGAATGATTTCCAGTATGCTACCGCTACCGCTCCCAGTCCCGAACAAGGTTTGCTACCAAGTCTGATTTTCTGCTCCCATGTTTCGCTCTCCAAAATTCCTCAGATATCTTGCTCCGTCATTTTCTTTTTTATTTATCTTCTGCAAAACTTTGGCAATTTGACTGAGGATTTCTCAAATATTTACTCCAGCTACTTCTGTGATGTTTCAGTGTGTGTGATGGTGATGCTTGATTGCTTAGCAAGGTCTCAACCAGTTGTGTGTGCCAGTTACTCCGTATGTGTCTCCTATGCTCAGAGAATAATTAGTTCATTTGTTTCCTTAATTAACGTGATTTTGGAATAAATGGGTCACCTGATTACCTGACTCACTGACTGCTTTGGTTTCCAGACTGTGCTGTTTCCTATACAACTTATTTCCCCTGTTCGTGTGATGCAACCTCCCCTCTTATGCTGCCACTGCCAGGCTGAACAGAGAATTAAAGAAGATGGAATCTACTGATCAGATAATCAAACTTTAATTGTCGCTCTATTTTCGAATACAACTATTGTGGACCACTAGTACATAGTAAAGAAGTCCTCCTTAGAGCTCACAAGCAAAAGGGAGGACATGTGGAGCAAAGCGGCAAAATCTAGAAGAGGAAGAAGAAAAGAAAATTCTTTGCTTCTTTGCTAAAGCTGAATCCAATTCTTCCCTTTTCTTTTCCAGATATGTGTAGAATAGGATTACTGCAAAGAATGAGCATTCGAATAAAGCTGTATTAAGGGCACTTTTGCCCTGTTAGAATCTCTATATGCCATAAGCCCATAAGCAACCAACAAAAAACAAATACTTCGCTTCTCTTTGTGAAGTCCTCTATCATTTCACCTAACTCTTGCAATCCTGCTGTGGCAAGTCCTCTCTTCCCTGAACTCATCTCCCCCTTTGGTACCCGACTTCTGTACTAGTTGTCACTGCAGAATCGAAGGGTTGGTCTGTCCATCTTCACCACAACTGTTGGAACCCGGCTGGTGCTGCCACTAAATACTTGAAGCAATTCATAAACATATTGGTAGGTCCATCAGCTTCTCTTTTTTGATCCATTTTTTTACGAGATTGACTACATACAGAACCTTAATATGCTTGCTCGTTGCATGTAGGCTGGAGGAGGACACTGCTAGGATTAATCGTCCTGCCACTCCTCTGCACTTGCAAAGCAAATTTGCATCTGCTGTGTTTCTCTGTGTTGTGAGAGCAACAATGGCCGAGTTAGTGATTGGGCCACTAGTCTCAATGGTGAAGGAGAAGGCATCAAGCTACCTGCTGGACCAGTACAAGATGATGGAAGGCATGGAGGAGGAGCGCAGGGTCCCTGGAGCGCAAGCTGCCAGCAATCCTGGACATCATCCACGATGCAGAGGAGAAAGGAGCCTTCCGACCTGGAGTAGGAGCTTGGCTCAAAGACCTCAGGGCAGCAGCCTATGAGTCCAATGACGTCTTTGATGAGTTCAAGTATGAGGCACTTCGGTGAGAAGCCAAGAAGAAGGGACAAAACAGCATGCTCGGCATGGATGCCCTGCAGCACCTATTTCGAGCTCGTAATCCCATTGTATTACAGGATGGGAAAGAAGCTACGCAGGATTGTGCAGACCATTGAGATACTGGTCACCGAGATGAATGCATTTGGTTTCAGACACCTGCAGCAAGCACCACCATCAAGGCAGTGGCGAGAGACAGATCATGTAATTGATGACTCCGACAAGGATATTGTTAGCAGATCTAGAGACCAGGAGAGGAAGGAAATCATGAGGAAACTACTTGATGACGCTAGCAACATGGATCTCATGGTTCTTCCTATTGTCGGGCCAGGCGGGATGGGCAAAACCACCTTTGTCCAACTCATTTATAATGAGCCAGCAATCGAAAAGCATTTTGAGCTTCGGAGGTGGTGCTGTGTATCAGATGATTTTTATGTCAGTACCATTGCAAGCAACATCAGCCAGACCAATGAGAAAAATCGTGAAAAAGCATTGAAGGATCTCCAGAGTGTAATAAGTGGAAAGAGGTACCTCATTGTGTTAGATGATGTATGGAATCGGGATGCTGATAAGTGGGGAAAACTAAAGACCTGCCTTAAGCAGGGTGGCAAGGGCAGTGCAGTACTGACTACAACTCGTGATTCAAAAGTGGCTGAAATTATGACCATGGGTGTGGTTGAAGCCCATAATATTGAAAAGCTGACTGATGAGTATTTGAGGGAAATTATCCAGAGTAGAGCATTCAGCTTGCAAAATCCAAATAGTGATGAGCTGGAAGGCATTGTTGGTAGTATAGTTGGCCGTTGTGCTGGTTCTCCTTTGGCTGCCAAAGCCTTTGGCTCTATGATGGGCACTAAGACTAGTACGAACGAATGGAAGGATATATTGGCCAAAAGTAACATTTCTAATGAGAGGACTGGAATTTTACCGATACTCAAGCTCAGTTTTGATGAACTACCATCACATATGAAGCAGTGCTTTGCATTTTGTGCTATATTTCCCAAAGATTACGAGATCAATGTAGATCTCTTGATTCAGCTGTGGATGTCACATGACTTTATACCTGTGCAAGATGACGCCCAACCAGAAACTGTAGCAGCACAAATTTTCAAGGAGCTTACTTGGAGGTCATTCTTTCAAGATGTCAAGCAAACTCTTCCAATTAATCACATCTTCGGGACAAGGTTGTCTCTTCGTAAGCGAACCATATGCAAGATACATGATCTTATGCACGACGTTGCTCTATCTGTTATGGGGAAAGAATGTGTCACTATAGTAGATAAGCCAAGCATTAAGAAGTTATTTCCAAATCCTGCTCGCCATGTCTTCTTGTCAGAATATGCCACAGAGGTACTTGGGTCGAACAGACATCATGATTTATCTCTGTTGGATGAATTTTTGAAGAAACAATCTCCAATGCTCCAGACTTTGTTTTTTGAAGATTATGATTACTTGGATATATCAAACTACACTTCACTGCGAGCACTACACCTTCCTGCAAATGTATACCTTCCAGGGCAGATACACCTTCCAGGAAAGATACAGCATCTAAGGTATCTTAATCTGTCAGGAAATCGGGAGCTGAAGAAACTCCCTGAAGATTTAAGCATTATGTATAATCTACAGACACTGAACGTTTCTCATTGCCAAAACTTTGTCAGCTTCCAAAGAGTATGAAATATATGTCAAGCCTCCGGCACCTCTTTACTAATGGATGCAATTTATTGACGTGGATGCCTCCAGGACTTGGACAGGTCACTTCTCTACAGACTCTATCATATTTTGGTGTCAGTGCTAGGCCAGGCTGCAGTACTATTGGAGAACTTCGAAATTTAAACCTTGGTGGAGAGTTAGAGTTAAGTGGTTTGGAAAATGTAACAGAAGCACTTGCAAAAGGAGCCAGTCTTGGAAATAAAGAGAAACTCACACACTTATCTTTCAAGTGGAATGATGATGCCCCTGAAAAACCAGATTGTCATAAGAAGGTGTTAGATGCCCTTAAACCTCATGTCGGTCTACAGATGCTAATGATAGTTAACTATAAGGGCACCGGTTTACCATCATGGATAATCAATCATAGTCTGTTGCAACACTTGACTGAGCTTCAGCTGCTTGGTTTTATGTTGTGTGAGGAATTTCCTGAATTTTGTCATTTCAAATCTCTTCAAGTTCTTTACTTGGAGAAGTTATACAAATTGCAAAGCTTGGCATCCACAGCATTTCCAAAACTGAAGGAACTCCAGTTACATGACATGAAGAGCTTGGAGAGATGGGTGGCAACAGAAGGAAAGGAAGATGAACTAACCTTTCCTGTACTTGAGGAGGTTGATATTAAAAACTGTCCGAAGTTGACTAGTTTCCCTGAAGCACCAAAGCTAAAGGTCTTAAAGTTGGATGAAGACAAGGCGCTGCTCTCCTTAGCAATAATGAAACCGAGGCATGTGTCCTCACTGTCCAAGCTACAACTGTCTATCCAGGACACAGAAGCAAAACCACCTCAGATAGATCAGAACCATGTGTCATCTCTGTCAGCACTCGGGTTGCAGGGCTGCAACCTTTTCTTTTCAAGTCCATCACAGCCAACATTTGGGGTTTGGAAATGGTTTGTACAACTTGTGGATCTGGTGATTCAAAACTGCGATGTGCTAATGTACTGGCCAGAAAAAGTGTTTGAATGCTTCGTATCCTTGAAGGAGTTGGAGATTTGTGACTGTAACAAATTAATAGGGTCCACACAGGTGAAAGGTGGTGCACATACAGAAACAGTGGGCCAAGTCCTGCCACAGCTAAACAGCATAACCATATGGGATTGTGAAAGCTTGACAGAGGTCTTCATTCTTCCCCCACCTCTCAGAATGATTTTTATTCTCCGATGCCCGTGATTTGAGTTCCCATGGGGAAAAGAGGAACAACTTGAGACGTCCACATCCCTGGAATACTGTCACGACCTTGCATCTACCAGTATGATGGAGGAATCACGATCTCCAATGGATCGTCGTCCTCGTCCATGCCTAGAAAATCTAGATATATATGATTGTGGTGACCTGGTAACGCTTCCGAATTTACCATCGTCCCTAAAGCATTTAAGCATCAGCCATTGTAGCAAGCTCTGTTCCGTGTCAGGACAACTGGATGGACTCCAGACATTATACATTTATGGGTGCAGTAAGTTGCAGTCGCTCAATTCCATGGGGGACCTGCCGTCAGTAGAAACATTGTCACTTTACTGCTGTCCATGCCTTGCGTCCTTACCTGGTGTTCTAGGGACTTACTCTGCTCTTCAGAACCTTACGATCAGTCATTGCCCTGCCATAGATCTGAAGCCACTTTATAAACGCCACCAGCAGCGGCTTGACAGCCTTGATTATAAACACCTATCACATGCTCATTCAAGCATCCCAGGTGACGGTACCACCTTTCAACGTCCGTTTTCCATCCCTTTTTCAAATCACTTTGCTTGCCCTCTATGCTGCTAATCTACACCATGTAAATTTGAATCAGCATTTAACCTGCGAGATTCTTACACCATTTTCCATTTCCAGGGCCAAATCTGAGGGATCCAAAATCTTGAAAGTATGCTATCCCTTGGTGTTGAGATCAGCTGATCCGGCGTCACCGGAAGTACTGCTGAAATGGGATCCTGAATGCTTTATTTTGGAGCGCAAGTTGTGGTGAATGGAAGCAGTTACCAGATTTCAGCCATTCATGGAGCCGTGTAGTAATAAGTAATCTATTTCCCATTTCGTGGGCCTACATTACGATCAAGGAAGCCAGACTGCCTTTGTCAACAACATGCTTATTTGTGGGAGTATACGTTGGATGGTCCAAAAAGATGCCCGAGTGTTATAATGAAGTCCGGTTTGAGAACGTATTAATGTTTACCCCCCAGTTATCAATTTATTGTACTGCGTATATGACACATAATGCACTGGACGTGTGCTATTCATGTACTCCTAGTATGAATAAATAAAAGGAAACAAGTACTGCATTTGTTTTCTGCTAGTTAAACATTGCTGTTTCGCTTCGGGACTTGTCCTTGATAACAAGTTTCATGTTAGGCTCAACCATATCCTTATATGACATATATGCAAGTTATCAGTCTGCAACTGTGCATATAATTAAGATGAAATCATTGTGCGCTCCATGATATTCCATCCCTTCTATTTCATCTCTAATTGGAGGGACAAAAAATAGAAAAACATACATTTTGTGCCCTGCGGGTCACCCACGGATGAAATATGACACCTACACCCAACCCGAAACCATCACAGGCATTGACCCGAAGACACCTACGGGTCCGATGTTGCACCTGCACTCACGGGTGTGATTGCCATCACTACCTTGGAGATGCCAGGAATAACTCCATAAATTGGAATCGACATGACATCATCCTTACGACGACAAGATAACCCTTACCACTACCTATGCATCATGAGAACGACAATGATTCTTTGGCAAATTATGATACGTAGTAAAAGAAATTAATGGTTAAAATCTAACTTGTTTGAGTTGTCCATGATCTAAATATAATTATCATTCCATAATGGAGAGTTTATAATTCTTTGATATAACAAATTCAATTTAATAAAATGTAAATGCAAATTTTGAATAGAAGATATGATAAGCACTAGATTAAAAGTCGAGCCAATTCTCTCAGTGCCATTAGAAATTTTGTGACTTCTCTGTGTGCCATTAAAATTGCTGAATTTCCTTGTCAGCCATTGCAAAAAAAAATTATTCCCTTTATGCCACTTTTGACATGTTTCGTTAGTTTTTTGATGCAGAGAGGCACTGAACAAACACTGGTACTATATGAAATGACCTCGGGGCACTTCTTGCGAGCCAGAAAAGGAAGAGGAAGTGGCGGTCGCCTAGAAGTCGCGCTGATTTTGGAGAAAAACGGATCAGGAAGACGAATGCTAGAGCCATGACCATACAGCTATTTTGGTGCCCTAGTGAAATGACAAAGTTTGGTGGGTCCCACTCGTCAGTGTAATTAGGGGCAGCAATGTCATTTCAACTAGTTCCAATGCTCATTTAATTTAGTGCCTCTATCCATGAAAAGACTAGCAGAGAATTGGCTCTTAAAAGTTTGAAGTTAAAATATATATTCATGATGTCACATAAAGGGATGCAAGAAGAGCTGATGTAACTTTAGCTTATGTGTTAACTAAATACATATCATGCTAAAAATAGAGAAATTATAGAAATTCTAACCAGAGGTCCCAATGGGGCTTCCCATTTAACCCTCCCTAGACTTGCTTGAAAAAAACACATCTTTAAATTCTCACAAAAATAAAAATAGACATTTGGCCTTTAATTCGGTAGATTCGTCCAATCACCATTGATCTTAATCGACGTGGCGCAAGATCTAAATGATTGTTTGTGCCATTGTAATGAATTAAGAGTGTAGATCTACAATCTAAAATCCTTATTTATAAAAGGTATCAAAGAAAGTTAATAAAAGATACTGTAAGCACAATAGGTTCAATTTACTTGAGGATAAAAAATGTAGCATTTAATAAGGTCAAAATCTGAAAATAAAAATTTAGGTTCATGACATCATATCGTCATATAAGATATGCGTTGCCACAAGAGCTATCATAGTTCACTACCGGATACAGGAGCTTTGCCGAGTGCCAGGGGCACTCGGCGAAGCCCCAAAAACACTCGGCAAAGGGTTTGCCGAGTGTTACACTCGGCAAATGACATTCGGCAAACCCTTTTACGGCAAACGCTAGTTTGCCGAGTGTTTTTTGTCGGGCACTCGGCAAAGACGTTGCCGAGTGCCCAAAAAGCACTCGGCAAACTTTTTTTCAAAAAAAATAAAAAAAAGGCACCACCAACACTGCCGCCGCCGCCACCATCCATGCCCGCACCAGCAGCACCGCCGCCACCATCCACGCCGCATCGCCCTCCGCCACGACGCCCCCCGCTAGCACCGCCGCATCCGCCAGCACCGCCGCATCCGCATCCGCCACCACACCCCATCCTTGGATCTCGCCGTTCACTACACCACAACACCATATCACCGTCAGACATCTAACGCTAAAACTTTTTTTTATCGATGGATGATCTGACGCTAAAGATAACTCACAGACAATCTGATGCTAATTCTCCATTTAGAGATTAACTGTCTGTCGCTATAGGTAATCATCTTTAACGTCGAACTATCTGTCGCTGAAAACAGGTATAGCATCAATCCGTCTGTCACTAAAAAAGGGCCCCACCTTGCTCACGCGCCCACTTACATTGAGCTCGCGCGCCCACTCGGCCCTGGCACGCAAATTTTGGCTTGAACCATGAGTACAGAAACCCTACCATTCTCTTCCAAATCCCAAATCGTCTTCCACCTGCCTGGGCACCGTCGCCCTCAAATCGCGCCCGCGACCTCTCCCTCCCAAATCCCGCCCGCCCGCCCCAAATCTCCTGCCCGCCGTCGCCCTCTAGCTCGCTCCCAAATCCCGGTCCCCAATCTCACGATTTGGCAAATCTCCGCCCGCCGCCCATACCGCCCCAAACCCTTCCTTTCCGCTCCGCCTCGCCACCCCAAAGCTCGCCACGCCACGGCCCGAGCAAGCAATGGTAGGAGATGGTGACGCCACCGCGACACCCTCGCTGGCAAGACGCACAGAAGCCAAGCTGCAGACGCTGGCACCGTCGAGCAACACCGCCGCCGTGGCGCCTTTGTTGACGACGCCGCGACGACCTTGAGGTGCCTCACGGCGGTGGTGGCGGTTCCTGATGCGCCGGCGGCGAGCTCTCGGACGAGCCCATCGACGCCGTCTTAGGTGAGCACTAGGCCCATTTCTTAATCTTAGGGTTGGGGATTTGGTACGGGATTTGGGGAATTATGATTTAGGGTTCGGATTTTGGGATTTTGTTGAAGAAATGGGGCTTAGAAAATGTAAACAATCTGGATTTATGAAATCATGTGCACCTATGCCACTTCTCACACATGGCATGTCTGTACGATTGACATTGAAGCAAATAATCCTTGTTCTTTATAGGAGAATCATGTGCACCTACCAGGGATAACTCGTCTGGTACTCTAGCTAGTAACTTTGGAAGCAAGAGACACCCTTCTTGGTAAGTATGAGACTAATACTTTATATATAGTTTTGTGCTAATCATTGTTGGATCTATCTCTACAGTTTACAAGCAGGAAATAGTACAAATATTTTACTAGTGATTTTTTTTTTGTAATGTGAAAACTGAATTTAGAAAATTTATATGTCATAAATATTAGCAGGGACATAGAGAGGTCGATTGATAGCAAATACAAGTAATAGATCAGGAGTATTTTTTTTTAAAGACAGCCAGGATTTGATGCCTAGAACGTTGCCATGACATGGCTTTTAATCTACACTCTGCTCCTAATTTGCCCTTCAGTGCAGGGAGTAAAGCTTGCAGATAGAATACATGTGCATGTTCAATATATACTCAATTTCTAGCTATTTGATTGAAGTTTTTAGTTTACGAGTGACCTCAGCTTGATATTAGTTAAATATGTGTTCTAGAAGCACTGTTTAGATACTTTTCACATCTCTCTCTTTATATAATAACATCTTTGCTACATCATATATACATAATGTCTGATTATGGACTTTATCATTGATGAATGTTCGGACTTTGTTACGATTGAACCTATTTGTATGACAAATGTGCAGTGGTGTTATAGTGGATCTTCTTGAGCTCACTGTCCACTGACATCGGACCTACTTAAGCTCGCCGCCCACCCGCTTCGGACCTGCAAGCTCGATCTTAGCATTCTAGAGATATTTGAGGTATGGCTTCTCCTTCTTGCCAAGTCGAGAAAAACTCTTCGATGTTGGAAATCTCATGTATAATAACAACATAAGCATGGATTTTTTTTTCATTT